GTAAGAATGACTCTGCAGTGTTGAATCTGTATGCGGAATGTGACGTGAGATGTGCTTTTTTGAAGCAGAGCTCCATATCTATGTAAAAGTCAAATCAGCAGACAGTGAACAATAGTGAAGATTCTTTTTTCATGATTACAGAGCAGATAATGAATAACTGATCCTGATATTGGAGATGACAGCAATGATGGAAATTAAAAGTATGAATGGAAATCAGACGAAAGGAACATTCTGGCAACAAGAACAAATAGGACATATTAAAACAAATATTACAGTAAAGTTCTTTTTGAATATCAAGGTACAAGGAAAGTTGACATTATTATATTGATACAGATTTTACAAGTACATTAGTTAACTGACTGAATGAAAATGGGCAAGGACAGAACTTAACTCCTCACCTGTTTAGCTATTGATTTCTCTACTAAAAACAGTCCACATATTATTGTTAGAGATTTTACAAGTACATTAGTGAACTGACCAACCTTAACTACTCAGCTATTTAGCTATTCATTTTTCTACTAATACTGAACAAAAAGAAAGTAAAGTCAAACTATATCCAGAATTCCTAACTATCACTCAAGACTTTTGAAAGTACACTATTTACATTATTCGGACTATTGTCCTCATCTTTGTCGCCCTATTTATTACAACGTTTTGGCCGTTGTATGCTCTGGCCTTCTTCAGGTGGTTGGAATGTCGAACTCAAGGAAACGTGGCTTAGTGGATAAAGGCGTTAGTTAGATCCAGTGAGAGGACCCACACAATGTGAATTCAATACCCAGTTAAGGCAGTGGAGAACTTGGAGAGGGAAATTAACAGGAGATAAGTGATATCCATTAAATATGGCATGTGGAACTAGAACAGTCTACCCCAGTCAGTGAAATAAAGGGTTCAGTTCGACATTCCAAACACCTGAAGAAGGCCGGAGGATACAAAGGCCGAAATGTTGTAATAAATATGGCAACAAAGATGAGGACAATAGTCCAAATAATGTAAATAGTGTACATAATACCTCATCTCAGAAATATAGACACATGCCTTTTGAAAGTATTAACAAGATCAAATTTATTTTGGCTTTTAAAGTCATTTCATTAAGTCTTTCAATAAAATGAAACTGCACAATAAAAAATTGCCTTATATTTGCTGACACTTTATTTTTTTTACTATTTTACCTACCATCCAAAAATTTAATTAATTTTTAATTGCATTGATTATATTTTCTGCTTGATTTTTATCTCTACAAATAACTCTATAAGAAAGATTTTGTTTCTTTTTTAAATCATTCAAAATATACAAAGAAGAATAAAGCAAAATAAAAAACAAAAATCATTACATTAACAGCTTGATCTTCCCTACTTAGTAATAAGTTATTTCATTATATTGTTATATGAGGCCTGTTTTTTTATCAGTGTCAAGTAATGACTCCTTTTACCCTAACAATGGAATATCTTATTGTCTCAAATAGGGGTGATCAGAATGTATGTCTAACAAATAATGTCACATAGAAGCTAAACCCATAATTATCATTAACATGATTTTTATTATACACGCAGCTAAACAGACTGAACTTGTGTTGGTTGTTGTAACTATGATATAATGGGTTTTCATTCTTATCTTTGAGTGCTTCATCATTATCATTACTATTTCCCCAAGAAGAGTTTGAATCAAGCCATTATATACTTGGAAGAAGATGATATGAGAAGTTTCTTTGTCCTTCTTACTCTAGCAGCAAGTTGGATCAGGATTCATGTCAATTCATTGCAGATCATGATCAAAGTTGTGAAAGTAATCAATGATTGATTGTTCAGAAGTGGCTGACATGGTTCTGGGTCTTCTTACAAAGGCAATAAAAGCATTGAATGCCCTGAAGCATTTGACAAAATATTTCACCGAAATATTCCACTGATCCTAAGATCAATCCCTTACTATTTCCTCTGATTTTATTGGCAGAGAATTAGCCACTCAGATTGTTATGATTTGACACAATAGGACACAACTATGATCAGGGCACCAACATAGTAAAGTGGGTAGGAAATGATTTTATCTGAGTCTGAAGTGTCTAGTGTTTTATGACCAGCAGTAAAGCCTAAAAGTAAGATCTTCAAAAGAAATGACTGAAAGGAGAAAGAGAAAATAAATAAATGAAAACTTTAGGGATCAAGTGCCACTTGGCTGGATGTCATGAATTTCAATCCTCATCAGATTCATAAGTTTAATAAACAGTTAATTTAGATTCAATTTCTTCTAAATCCTATATATATATTTATTTATTTAGTTTATGAAAAAATAGGTAATTGGTATGGGTAAACCTAAGGACGATAAAATCCAGAGAGCTCAATGTAAATTCAGAGCAAATAATTTAAATAAAATGGTAGAATATAAATATAATAAGGTAATTAAGTATGGATTTTGATATGTTTTTTGCATGCACGCACATGTGTGTATGTATGTATATATATATATATATATATATATATATATATATATATATATATATATATATATATATGTGTGTGTGTGTGGATATATGTGGGTATATGCATGTGTATATTTAAATGTGTATGTGTGTGTTGATATATGTGGGTATATGCATGTGTATATGTAAATGTGTGTGTGTGTGTGTGTGGATATATGTGGGTATATGCATGTGTATATGTAAATGTGTGTGTTGATATATGTGGGTATATGCATGTGTATATGCATGTGTATGTGTGTGTGTGTATATATGTGGGTATATGCATGTGTGTGTGTGTGTGTGTGGATATATGTGGGTATATGCATGTGTATATGTAAATGTGTATGTATGTGTGTGTGGATATATGTGGGTATATGCATGTGTATATGTAAATGTGTATGTATGTGTGTGTGGATATATGTGGGTATATGCATGTGTATATGTAAATGTATGTGTGTGTGTGTGTGTGTATATATGTGGGTATATGCATGTGTATATGTAAATGTGTATGTGTGTGTGTGTGTGGATATATGTGGGTATATGCATGTGTATATGTAAATGTGTATGTATGAATGTATACAGATATGTGTGTAGATGTATATTTATGGATACATAGAATATTATGAAAGAAAGACTTACAGTCCTGTTATTAGTGTTTTATCCCATTTTCTCATTTAATATTCTCCAATTGGAAGTGTGAGTTTAAAATTCTTTATAATATGGAGGAAAATTTTTTAAATTGATAATTTAATTTAAATTGAAATATATTACCCTTTAATAATCATTATTGATGATAAAATATTTAAATTGGAAAAATTTTTGATATTTAGGTAAATGTTAATACATGAAGTTACCTGTGTATTTTTCCTTGTATGAGTGATTGAATATGTAAAGGAACGTGTGTATATGTGATATTTGCATGGGTGTGTATACAGTTTATGACAGAGCAAGATCTTTAATATTACCTTCAAATATTACCCCATATTATCTAAAATTTAAGTAAAAGAGATTACCTATCTAGAAACAGTCATGAGTTAAATTCATGAACAAAATTCAAACAGATAGAGATGTCAACTTAATAATCAATAATAAAAAATTTTTTAAAGAGATTAAAAAAAAGATTACTAGAAGTAAACTTATATTTTAAAATAAAATTTTATTCTTTTAATGTACTTTCTGTGAATATTTTTCTAATCGACTATTTCGTAGAAAATCCCCAAAATTTAAAAAAAATTTAAATCACTAACAAACATCAAATTAAATTATTTGTAGAGAGTTTAGAGACATTCAAATTTATATCAAACATTATAATCTTTACGAACCCCCAAAATAACACTTTCAAAGTAAATCAAAATAACAGCATCTGTTTCTAGGCTTTTTTTACAATGAAAATTAGTGACATCTTCTCTCTTAACTTCCTTCCCTCTTTTTCTCTCTATGGGTTTTTTCTTCTCTACCCCTTCGATATCAATATATAACTTCCGTTAAGTTAACTGTTTAAATGTGTCAATATCTGCTAACTAACTCATGTCTTCTCTCTCTCCCCCTCACTTTGTTAATTTACATATGTTTAATACGGCCCATCAAAAATGTGTAAATTTTCTTTTCATTTTTTGTTTGGAAGTAAAGTCTGATGATCCACAGTCCTTTTAAAAGGGCTGTGGTGAAATAATTTATTACATGGAACTTTAAAGTGGTCTGTTTTGTTATATATATATATATATATATATATATATATATATAACACAATTGGACACAGTTGTGATGATCAGGGCACCCACATAGTAAAGTGGATAGGAAATGATTTTATCAGAGTCTGAAGGGCCTGGTGTTTTATGAACAGCAGTAAAGCCTAAAAGTAAGATGCAAATAAGTATAAAACTATTCTGTAAAAAACGATTTTTCTTATTTTTACATATTTAGTAAGCATTTTTGTGCAACTTCTTCCACTGTGCAATAACAATATTTATTATAAGTTTCATGCATATCATAATATAAAATGGGTCTTTTTCTTTGTTAATAAATGATTTAAAAAATATATATATATAATATAAAATATGATTTACCAATCAGATATCACTGGTCACTGCTTTATTTCTCATTTCTTTTATCCACCCAGTTACTCTGATTGAGAACAAAGCAATAGTAATCACCAAAATGCAATAAGATAAAGGCACAAGAAATGACTGCTATTAATATTATTTGATCAGTTGGTTTCAAAATCAAGAAATTGCTAAGTTGCTATGTTGGTTTGTGTTTTTCATTGCATTTTAATTGATTGATTTGTTTCTTTATGACTTATCAACCCTTTGCAGGTGATTTAAAGCCAGAAAATATTTTAGATTATGAGAATTTCTTTTTGTAATAATAATGATTTTTACTGATACAAGCCTAATTAATGGTATAGCTGGTGAGGAGAAGATATATATTCATATCTTTCCCAAGGGTATTTGCATGTAAGTGAATATAATGAACTCAATTGTAATTAAGCTCACAGATTTCTAATTCTGAGCTTTTAACCATTACTTCACTTGCAAATCCAAGTTTACAGCACCTGGTATTCCCAAGTGGTCACCTTTGTAAGTAATGACTAAGCTCAACATTGCTTAACTTCAGTGATCGTACGAGAATCAGTGTTTCAATATGATATAGCTGTAAGCCCCTCAGTAAAGGTAATATATATATATAGTATATCTTTTTAAAGTATGTTGGTATTCATCTTCAATCCAACTGACAGATTGTGTGGCATTATGTATTATGAAGAACAGGTAAAAAAAATTCCTGACCAAAATCAGTTCAACTCAAATAGCAGAATCTACTTTGAAGAATAATACGATTTGATATGCTGCGATGAAATCTGTCACGAAGAAAAATCTTCCTCTTTCTATTGTTGCTTTCTGTATTTTTGCCCACAAATAAGAAACCATTATTTACATTATGCACACTTAGACTAGTGTCCTCATCTTTGTTTTTATTATCAAAACATTTCAGCTGTTAAGTCCTCTAGCCTTCATCAGTTGTGTTACTGGTATCCTTTTCTTAGCTTTTAAAGGTAACTTCTTAAGCTACAATCAAAGACATGGTCATGCTGCCTGAAAGTAACAGCCTGCCACTCAGATTCATCTTTGTAGTTGTAGAAAGTAGATTTACAGAGAAAGAGAGAAAGAAAAATCATACAAGACTGCATTCATTCAGTAAATAAGACTGAATGATTTAGTGTAAGCTACCCAGAAAACAATTTAAAACAAACAAATAATAAGAAAAAAGTGCACACATTGTTGGTGTATGAAATTTTCATACCTGAAATGTACACTTGTTAGAGTTTTTTTTTTAGGACTATGAAATATATCCTGGTTGTGAAGGCTGCATTTTGGGAGTTGTTAACACAACATATTTCTACAGCAATGAACTCATGAAAAAAGGCAAAGTCTTGTGAACATTGTTCAGAGAGAGAGAGAGAGAGCAAGAGAGAGAAAAAAAAAGAGGAAAAAAGGGGTTGCTGCTACTTTCTATATATACCCATGAGTGATTCTTATTGTTGTAGTGTCAATTTTTAGTCACAAAAATAAGTGTGACTTCTAGATTTTAATTTCTGCTAAATTCTACAGTTGCTTGTCAATCCAGGCAACCTTCTGAAATGTTCAAACCAAACCCTTTACTTAATCTGAGGAGGTCGATTGTTTTCATTCTACTGATCATGTCTAGGGTTATATGATTTAGTTCTAGGCTGCTAAAGATTTCTAAGAATGATTATAACAAAAACATGATAATAAATTGAAAGATTCCTGCAGAAACACTATCCAGACATTATATCTGTTTTCATTCTCTATTTTTTCTTTCATCTCATGACATTCTCAGACAGACATCAATCTCTTGTCTTCTTTCTGCAAGTTTGACCATGAAGCTTTTTGTCAGCATTTGGTTGTAGCTTTTGCCAGGGTAAGAATGAAGGAGAACAGGGAATTCTGGTTAGATATTCATGGTAATTGATCGTTCTGCTCACAATTATGAGACAACTGGGATTTTTGTAATCACCTTTGATATTTCATCAGAATTAAGGTAAAGTGAACTAAAATAAATTTCTCTCAGGAATTGTTGTTTTTCTATATTTTTTTTTATCTGAAATGAACCTTGTTTCCATTGACTCACATTAATTACCTGACTTCATGATTGCAGCTGACAACCAATTAAATATATTTTTTATTCAGCTTTCCCAACATTCACCAGATAGAAAATAAGAACTATTTGAAATCAAAGATTTCTTTGTGCATTGTGATTTTCCATCAAACTTATTAAGTTGATGATTCAGCCAAACTCAATCTTAGTCATAAAACAGAATTGCAAATATGCAAAAGGTTTGTGTCTTTGTTTGAATAAATTTATTACTAGCTCAAGTACTTGTCTAGACTGGGGAAAAGGCTTATATCATTATCATGTTAAAACACAGCTTAACTTCGGTGATTGTATAAGAAGCAATGTTGAGCCTTGTCAGTCCATAGATGGGTGACTGCTTGGAAATAAAAGGTGCTGTAAGTATGAATGCATGAGTGGTGTAATGGATAATAATATGGAATTGGAAATCAGAGTCAAGTTTGAATTCCAGTCAGGTTTCTTATATTCATTTACATGCAAATATCCTTGAGAAAGTCATGAATCCACATCTTCTCCCCCAGCTATGTGTTAATTAGTAGAACTTGTATCAGTGAATCATTATCTTCAAAAACTTCTTATAATATAAAAATATTTTCTGGCTTTAAATAACCTGCAAAAGGTTGATAAACTGTACAAAACAAATCGCTCAATTAAATACATTAGGTAAAAGATAAAGACTAAGATTGAAGATAATTAGAATGACTGTCCTGATGGTGGTAAGCATTATTTCTGTTGAGCTTATTCAAAACTGATTAAATTATTAGCACAAGTAAAGCAGAAGTTGCTTTTTTTTTAATGCCATATCCTTAAAGATTAGCTGATCATGACTCACTAAAAATTCCTTTCATTTATTATCAGTGAATTGTCAAAGTCTTGCAATTGTTGGGGAAAATAGTGGAGTAGTTATCCATTGCCTTCTCTACAGTTTGAAACACAGTGTTCCCTCTTTTAAAATGGTTGCCACTCAAGGCTAAAGAGCAAAGTATATGCTGCTATTTTATCCATAACTGCTTTTAGATAAGAGATAGATTAATGCTTTTCCTAAGGGCATTATTACAAGAGGGAACGCAACAAACTAACTTTGTTTCTGAATTCTGCTCAGCTTTATTTTTCATTGGAATTTTAAAAACAACTCATATTGAAACTAAATGATGAAGCAGTTATCTAAGTTATGAGCATTTAATATTAAATTAATGATATATATCTATATCTACTAAGTGTTTGAGAATAAACTCAATGATGTCATCTTTGTTTTAGTGAACAGTTATTTTGTAAGATGTCAATATGATATTGTTACTCATCATATAAATATGTTTTGTAACTCACTTAGAGGACAGCTGACAGAAAATTAAATGTAATTACATAAAATGAACTGATTAAATATACATATGCCAAAAGCAAGGAAGACATTTAGATAAACCAATAAATCAATAAACAACAATAATAGGGCAAATGAAATGGATATGGTTCAGCAGAGAACACCTGAAAAAAGAAATGGAATCTCTTATCAATGCAGCTGAGGATGAATGCTTTCAGGTCCAGTTATATCAAAGTATAAATGAAATGATCCTAGAAAAACAGAAAAGGCTTCAAACTGGTTTAAAAAGAATATAATATAATATAAAAACCAGTATGACGGAACAGTTATACAAGCATACAACCCCCTGCCAACACTATCCTCAAAAAATAAAAGAAAAAAATATGAACCCAATTGTTATAAACATGGAAAAGATCTGCTAGACTGTACAGATGACTGTATGAACAACCCACAGGATGAAGATCTTTTTTTAATATTATTTTTCATACAATACAAGAGGAAATATTATGGGAATATGTAGGATAGATAACAGTTGACTGTAGACTTGAAGAGGTTAAGATTGTCAGTATCAGGGAAGCATCCTCTGGGAAGTTTTGGACAAAGTAACAGTTCTAGGGAAGAAGCTGAATGAAGCTTCATCCTTACTAAGAGAATATGAAGTGAAGGATGATGAATCAACCCTGTGTACATAGTATATTGGGTCTTAGCTGTGAAGGACTGAACTGGTGAAAACTTATAAAAACTACCAGAACCTTGTCTAAAAACCACAAAAGCATAAAGGCCAAAGCCCTGCCTATAATAACTGAATCAATCAGTCATTATTGCAAAAATATTAGAATTAAGATCAGATGAATTATAGAAAGGATTGAAACTCTTCAGACAGCAACAATTTTTGAGTCTGAGAGGACAGTGAGAAAGTTGCTGGAGGTTTAAGGTGACTTGCTGTCACTTAGTCTCTAATGATAATCCCCAAACTTTTGGCCTGATCATACAAATGCATAAAATAATAGTCAAAACCTATAATAATTATCATTGTGTATTTTCATATTTCCTGTCTTATCTGTATTGAGAAGAGAGGTAAATAAAGTTAATAAATTTATGAGTGATTGCTTCCCTTAGTCATTTTAATAATTTATACAAATATGGCAAAAGAAAAAGGGTACGTGTGTTCTGTACAATATGCCGAAGACAAAATAGCAACAAGTTAATCGCAGCTGTTTCTGTAAATGCATTTCAGACATGCTAATATTGTTTGTCTTCTCTGACTGTTAGCCAAATTGTTCTGTTGATAAAAGTAGATGGTGTTCTCAAATTGGTTAGTCATTTTTATTTTGCTATCGTAACTGTTGGCTTGTGTGTTTAGATTTCTAACCATTTATGTGTACTGGGATTTTTGACACTGGACATGTGATTTTGACATTTCTTTCTGCCCCTGGATCTTCGAGCTTGGATTTGTGATTTGTTTATTTTGTTGTGGAATTGAGCTGCTGTATCAAATTTTGAACAACAAATAAAATATTTACCTGCATTTAGACAAAATTAGTTTCCAAGCAAAATGAGCCATTTAATTAATCAGTTCCTTTACTCCCAGGGTTCTCAGATTGTAGTCTTATTTGTTCAAGCCTTTCATGTGAGGCATTCAGATACCTTTGCTTATTAAGTGGTCATACTTCAACTTGATCTTGAAATAAGCTTTGTCTTTGTCATTCTGTCGCTAATCTTTTTCTTCTGAAAGATATTTCCATTTTACTTTTATATTAAATAAATTCTTAACATGAAAAGATATTTGGCAAAGTGATTTATATAATACCAGGAGTAATCAATGAATCATAGATAACATTGAACATCTAAAAAATATAAAGTGAATGGATTAATTAAATGATTCATTGACCTCGATTTTAGTTGTGAATTCATTATTTCCACTTTATTTAATATCAATACATTGTTCCAAAACTTTTGTTTTATTGCATCTCACTATTAAAACTTTCTAACAATTGCCATCATTTTTGATGACTTTTTGTACCCTAATATATGTATAATTACCCTAATAATTTTTAAGACAATAGTAAAAGGAGGTGGAAAAATTAAAGAGCCAATTAGGGTTGAACATTCTCCAATCATTCAATGTTCTAGTCAATTAGAAGACCACAGAAGTGCTCTCTACATGCAGTCCACCAATAGAACA